AGCGTGCTTAAGGTAATAATCTCAGTGGTGCCAGCCGACTGCCGACGTGATTTGGACTGATGCGGAGTACCTAAAACCCATCAATTAATCTTTGAGTCTTGACACAGGTCACAATCTTAATTGCATTAGGTAGGACTAAATTATCTAGTGATTGATGAGAATGTGAAAGTGATTATATTTTAATAGTTTCTGCAAGGATATATGTAAAACAAAAAGAAGAATTCGTAGCAGGGCTTTTCTGCTAAAATTGCAAAATTATTAGACAGTGGTGCGGTCTTTTTCTCGTGGAGCTTCTAAGGTAGTTTTCGAGATTGCAATGATTTAGGACTAGAGTTTAGGATTTAGGACTAAAGGTCCTTCATGATGGAAGAACCGTATTGTATTTTTGATGTGTTTGTAATTGTAGGGCTTATACTATGATATTCTTTTGACATGTATAGTCTCTTCAGTTGTTTTAAGAGGCACGTTTAACATGTCTGTCATAAGTGCATTTTTTACTATTTTTAATGAAATTTCTTTCACTAAAAAGTCATTCTACACTTTTTAAGAGTATTTTCCATTGCATGTGGTCCAATATTATGGTAAATTATTGTTGTGTTTCTACCCATAATTTAAAAGTCTCCTAAATTAATGTAACAGTTTCCAATCTTCCCATTCTCATTAATAATAAATATAATAAAAGTGTATTTTCCGTTATATTTCTATATACTTGTAGTGCGAACCAAAATTTTTTGAAGTCTCAATAATAGCTCTCTTAGTTAAGAGTTTAGGGTTATATGAAGAGTAATGTTATTCTTACCATAATTTTATACCACATTTTTTTACCATCTTAGGTGACAGATGAGTTAGACAAGCTACATCATTTAATTTCAATTTTTTATTAATTAAAACACTTAAATTATCTTAGGTGGAAGAATGAGACTCCTCGTATACCACAATTATCATTTAATTAACAATATTTTTATTAATTATTGATTAACATTTTAAAATTAAATGCTAATTAATTTAAATGATGTGGCTATCCACATCAAATGCCACGTAATGTCACATCCCGACCTAGGCTCGACTCAGTCGTAGCATGATATTGTCCTCTTTGGGCCCCGACCGCACCCTCACGGTTTTGTGTCTAGGAACTCACACAAGCAGAACTTCCCAGTGGGTCACCCATCCTGGGAATGCTCTGACCCATTCTCGCTTAACTTCGGAGTTCTAACAAAACCCGAAGCTAGTGAGCTCCCAAAATGCATCGTGCTATATGAAGGTGGGCATATACATATAAGGCACATCACCCCCCTCTCCGTTGGTCTATGTGGGATGTTACACCTAAGGTGTTATACAATTGTGGTACCAAAATATGGTAAGAATAGCATTATTGTTATATGAATTATAATATAACCCAAAACACGCATGTCTTAGATAACCTAATTATCCACAATTTGAGGCTCAAGTTTCAAAGTTTGCTCGATTTTTATATATCAATAATCCATAATTTCATACAGAGTAATACTAGGGAAACTAAATTTTGTAAACTAAATAACATGAAAGTTGATAATTGGAATATTACTTAAAAGTTTATAAATGTGCTCATTTCCTATTGATGACATATTATTTAATTTGTAAATTTAATCTATAAATTTATTCTCCCTAATATTACTCTTTCTTATCGGCAATGTTACCTCAGTTGGCAGCAAGTTGCATGCTATGAATATGTGAAACTATGACGGCTCCAAATATGTCTTGAAAATGTGGGAGTTGTTGGAGCGTACCTAATCATATAGGTCCAGGGAACACATATATACTTATTTAGTGCAGGCTGATTTAAGTTAATCCCGTGGTAGAACGCTGATTTAGATGTTGTATTATTTGTGTGATGGGAAATCAGCAGTAGTCCCATCAGAAAAAAGTATCACATGGGCTCCATCCATCAGCTGTTTTGGTAGAGAATAATTCAGGCCTTACATACAGCTGATACCATACCACCACTTAGATAGGTTTATTTGCAAATAAATCAGGCACTAAGTCTAATCCTTTACAAAGTATGAATTTAGCGTCCTAATAACTCAGAGTCGTGTTTGAACTAACTATATTTTAGACCCTTCAGATTTAGGGTAATTTTTAAAATGAGTTGTGAGGTTTTAATTTTTTTTTACATTGCACTCAAGTTTTGAAAATTGTATTAGTTTACCTTTTGTCTTTTTGGACGTCTAATCATCTATAAAAATAATACACTTTTTTTGTCAATGAAGTGTAAATGTGACTTACATGTTAGATTATATAAGAGTCTCAAACTTACTATGTCATCAATTTATTAATTACCATACGATTAATCAAAATAAACGCACAATACAATTTCGATACCTCAGAATGCAATATAAGAAAATTAAAATCTATGACATTTAGAAAATTATCCCAATTTATAGGGTGCAAATGAAATTAACCATGGTAGTGACTGTATCTAATTATGGTTTTCTAGAAGAAAAAAAAATTATGTTTTGACTAAAAAAAAATATATTTATGTAGTTGCGTGCCACTGATCACAAACTCTTATAAAGAACAAAATAAGAAAATCTCAATCTTGATAATAGAAATATTTAAAAGGATTAACAAGACCTTGGTCATGAACCGCGTGTTATATAATAGTACACAAGAATCCCATTATCTTACAACGATATGTTAGACTTGTCAGTGATACATTATTTCGCTTGCCTAAGTTCTAAAAACTTTATACCGTTTTGGAAGTACTATAATTTGAAAATTACAATTGCAAAAATTTAATCAATGTATCTTGTATCTTGGGCCAATAATCTAACAATTAAAATTTTAGGATATCCGAAACACAATAGAAAATTCCGCCTAAAAGGTCATTTATCTCATTTATCTCACTGTTGTAAGTTCTTGATCTGCTATATATCCAATAACCACCAATCCACATGCATGCATAGATTTGTCAAGGGACATGATCTATGCTTCCTCTGCACCATGGATTTTGTCCATCCTAGCAATTGTCAGGTTTGAAACCCTAAGTCCCTAGCTACACTCTGTTCCCTCTAGGTTTTGCTGAGCATGACCTAGCTATTTGTCTATTTCATTTCATTTCCGTTGTAAATAATTCAACCTAGGGGGGACCCGTGTAAGAGGAATGTTATAGGATTAAGGGCCATCCATTTTTATCCTTTGAAGGAATTTGGTGTCGACCTTTTCTCAGCAGTGCTAGATCGCTAGTAGTAGTAACCCAGCTAGCAGGTTAGCTGCAACTCTGTGATATGATATGATATGCATATCCTTACAAAAACGCAAAGATAATGTTTGCATTCAACAGTTTGGAAAGGGATATAACTGAGGATCCCAAGAGAGTAGTGAGAAAACAAACCCTAATGACAAAATATGTCCTTTATGTGACGTTGAAGATTTTGAATAAATCCAGATTAGGGACTAATGTTTTCGTGATTGTAGGTAAGATTGATTAGGACAATCAAGGGCCCTAGGGCATTTACATCAGAAAGTGGCTGAATTATAAGGTTTAATTCAGTACAACCCACTTTCAATGCATCCGGCCCCTTCTATATGACCAAAGAATATTTTATGTACGAGCTAGCAACATTCATATATTTATTTCAAGTTGCTATTTGTGAAAATAATGGATACAGTTATATGATAGCATCGGTCCCCTTATAACACTACTAGAAATTATAATTTGCTTGATGAACCGACTTTCGTGAAGCAAATAACTTTACCTGACGGAATACAAATGTTCATCGGACAAAGCGGTTAACGTCTTGATTTCTTTAGAGGCTTTTATCCGACGAAAGTAGTTTGATAGGCAAAGTGTCATTCGTCGGGTAAAGTTTTCACGCCAAGGGAAAAACTTGGCGAGTAATATGGCAACCTTTGCGCGACAAAACATTCAAGTTTCGTTGCGCAAATTTATACAATTCGTAGGGCAACATATACTATTTCCTCAGGCAAAGGTGAGGGACATTTTGGCATATTCAATTCCTTCGATGATTTTTGTAGTCTACAAAATTGATTTGAGCGACCCAACCAACAAATTAATTTGTATATACTCTAAATCACCAAAAACAAGCTTTCAAGGATTAGGTAGTGTGACGAAATCCCTCAATGGTTAGACATGAAAAATCACGATTTAATTATTATTTTAGCTATGATTTTGATGATTTTTACAACTACAGTCTCAACCCCAGAGGAATACAATGAATGAACCTGATCATCAATTTAAAATATTTACACTAGTGGTTAACTACCACAAAATCTTATTTTCTACTTAATGGAAGTATAGAATAAACTAAGTGTTTGTTGAATCTATTAGTTTGACGAGATACGCAATCTACGAAACTGATTTCAATGATCCAACAATCAAACTTGTTTGGAATGCTCTGAGATCGCATACGCCAACTTACCATAAAAAAAACTTTCAGGACTTAGGTAATGTGACAAAATCTTACAACGTTTAGAAACGAAAAATTCTGATTTAACGGTTATCTTAGCTTCGATATGATGATTTTTTACAATTACACTTCTGACCCTAGAAGAATACAATGAACGGACCTGATCATCACTTTAAAATATTTATACCAGTGACTACCACAAAAATCTTATATTCTACTTAATGGAAATATAAAATTAACTCTAAGTATTTGTTGAAAATATTGTTTTGACGAGATACATAGTCTACGAAACTAATTTCAACAATCCAACAGTCAAATTTGTTTGCATATACTTTGAGATCGCATACGTCAAAAATACCAAAAACGAACCTTCGGGAATTAGGTAATGAGACGAAATCCCTTGATGCGTACAAACGGATCATTAGAAGTTATCAGTTATTTTAGTTCCGATTTTGATAAAAAATTTAAGAACGCTAATTGTGAGTAAAACCAAAGATTAAAAACCTGATAATCAAATTCAATTATCTTTTAACCGTTTGAAAATAAATAAATAAATAAATAATATTTTATTTTATGTTTGTTCGACGAAGTAGGTTCAGATCGTTTGGCAAACGTACATAAATTTGTCAGGCCACAGTGTTACTTTTGTCAGGCAAACGTATACAATCAACTTCCCCCCATATTAAAGGATTTACCGAAGAAATACTCTAAAATTTTCTTCAGGCAAACGTAATTTCCCACCGAGGAGTGGAAGTACAAGCAGTACCTGTACTAGAGCATTTTCTGTTGAAGCTCCTAACCATCCACCCCCGGAGTTTGCAGAGAGGAATGACCAGTGAGAGTGGATGTGTGGTCATTTTTAAAGCCCTAATTTCTTAAAAAAATATCCACCCCCGGAGTTTGCAGAGAGGAATGACCAGTGAGAGTGGATGTGTGGTCATTTTTAAAGCCCTAATTTCTTAAAAAAAAAAAATTAAAAATTAAAATTTAATATTTTTTTTTTTATTTTACAGCGTAAATCGGCTGCAAATAAGGTTAACCGAGAAGCGAAGCCGTACATTTATCACTCTTGTTCTCATCCCCTCACTTTTCGAGTCCAAGAACGACGTGATAAGGGTTCGTTTTTCTCGGAAGTCGAGGCTTGGGGATACGAATGATCATAATGGCAACCAGGTGGTTAATGACATTTATGTAAGTATTCTACTTAAAATTTTAATTTCAAAATTCGTTACACTTCAAAGTTTTAAACTTATGATCGGGAATCTTAATTGGTTTTATTTATTTATTTATTTTTATGTCTAAAAAGAAGGACAAGTGCCTCGCCAACCTCTACCAGCAGCAACCGGACATGCCAATGGAGGAGCTGACACCCAATCTAGAGGTGTCTCTATAGTTATTGATAGATGGGGTTGTGTGATGGAAAGGAAAAGAACTCCACGACCTAGAAGTAGGTCGGGTTCGGGACCTCGGGAGATCTTCTTCATCTAAGTCTCAGACTTCAAGCGGGATGTCTTCCATACTGCAGCAATTGGAGATTGAGCTAACGGACCTACGACAATGAGAAGAAGAAGCTTGGGAAGGAGCGCGCCAGCGAGAAGAAGCTCAAAAGCAGCTGCATGCCAGCGAGAGGAGGCCCCTTCCACGACACATTGCTGAGATGACCCAAGTAATGGCAGCCTCTGGCATTCACCTTCTGGATCCTTCTAGCGATTTTCAGCTGCCATTCCACCAATCACCCCAGTAGTCGCACTTAGTTTATGATTTTTATATACATTTGCACGAATAATTATTTTTAGATTAATATAATTTAAACTAAGAATTTCTTTTTAAAAATAAATTTTAAAGGTTTTCACGACGATTACTTGCGTCTGACATAATATTTAAAAAAAAATTTTGTTAATGGAAACCCGACGAAATGATGGGATTGGGCAAGATTTATTCATCGGGCAAACTTGGCCAACTCACTTTACTCAACGAAATATTCTCGTCAAGAAACTATGGCTTGCCAAACAACTATGTACAATTTGTCGGGTAAAATCTGTATCGACGATGTTCGCAACGAATTTTGTCGGGCAAAAGAGTAGACGATGAAATCTTATTTTACCTAACGAATAAATTTCATCTAGAAAGGATTCTGTTTTTGTTGTGTAACTTTGTTTATTGATATTGAGTTCGACTTGCACCCACATATTAGAGATTATGATATTTTTTAACTTATAAAATAGAGAAATGCTTGTAGTGTTATCAGCCTATAAACTTGTATATACTACAATCAGCTTGATCAATAATCCAAATCGAGTCACAGTCATATCATCACTAAATTCACAAATTTAGTACTTGAATTTTTTTTTGCAAGGAAAATGTACTTTTGTCCCTATTGGTTTTAAAATTATCATTTTTGATAGTTCACGGCATGTATAATTCAAATTATCCTTCTTGTAATACAAAATTGATGAAAAGTGATCATAACATCATGGATAATTTTCTTATGGTAATATTTGTGACTTGCATTTTGCTGCATAGTCTTTGTTTAAAACAAAGGGAATCGTGAATTTATGTGATTTAATGCATCTATTTTAACTCAAGAACTGAGAAAAGCCAAACCTACATAGTTCATAACTTGGAAACCGTGTGTTGTATATTAAACAATATATAAGGTGTACATCATCAATCGTTAAACTCCTAAACTAGCAGATTTGATACGAGAAACGATTTATGGTTCCACTTGCATGAATGGTACAAAGGAAATGACAGGAATATTTGTTGGGACATGCTGCTAGCGAGAGAGAGGGTGGAGAGAGAATTATTGACCACTTTAATCAAAAGAGGACGAAGGGTGAGGAGCCCTATAAAAGCTGTACTGCCCCATAAGGAGAGGACACATACGCATTAGTCGGGGTCTATTTAGAATATGGAATTTTATCACATCAGGACGTCCCATATTCCCAACCCACATGCATGTAGACCCGATAGTTTCTGACACGACATGAAAATGACACAAAAATAATGAATTTTGGATCAACACGATAACTTATCGGGTCATTATCGGGAGACCCGTTAAGAACCTGTTAATAACGGATTCTTAACAGGTATACACGCGGGTAATACGTGGGTAACCTGTTTTGACTTGTTAAGAAAAAAATTATTTTGATAATTTTAAAGTTTAATTACTAAAAGATTTATTATAAAATACAATAGCCATATTAATATATACAATATATTCTATATTAAATATATATTTTTGTATTATTATTCTATATAAGTTTAAAAAAAAGGGTGTGCTATCCACACACCCCAAATTACTTCTCACACACCCTTATTAATTTCTATCCGTTGATCTTCTTCAATTCATCCGATCCGACGGCCGAAAATTAGAAGGGTGTGTGAGAAGTAAAATGGGGTGTGTGGATATCACACCCCTAAAAAAAAGTTTTAGTCATTATTTATTTTTGTTATGAGAGTTCCTTATTATCATTACTATGATAAATTTTACTTAACATGTTGTTGTCTAAAATTAAAATAAACTAATATAGTATTTGTATAGGCAAGAACTAAGAAGACATACATACAAATATGAAAAATGTGAAAGAACATATAAACACTCGTGATTCATTATTATTCATCCACGAATAGATAATTGTTACACTTACATTATCGTTTAGATTTTAAAAATCCTCCGAACCTTCATGAATAATGTTTTTTATTTGAGGGTCAAAATTAATAATAATTATTGTAGAAGTGTAAAAAATGTAAAAAAATTATACAATCACTCATAGTGACAAACTTTACAATTTTCATAAAGGGGTCAGCTTCAAAATCCAACACTATAATTCATAAACCTTAAATTTATATTTAACCATCGATTGTTATTTACGCTTTATTCTTCTTACTGAATTTCATTTTTAAATTTTTTTTTTTTTAAAACATGATCATCTGGCGGATGTAAGAAGATGAACGGTTCAGATCTTTGATATCACGTTTCGATATTTACGATTAACTGAAATATGAGTCGATGTCATATAGTTTGTAGAAACTAAACATCAAGCAATATTTTCATTAACCGTAAAACTCTGAATATAATATCAACAATCCAAACTGTTCATCTTCCTGCATCCTCTAATAGATCAAATTTTCAAAAAAGAAAATTTGAAAAGAAAAAATAAAAAAACAAAATTTGATGAGAACAATAAGTGTAAATGTAAACAACAATCAACGGTTAAATTTTGATCTATGATTTATATGATTATAATGGCGAATTTCGAAGTTAAACTCTTCATGAAAGTTGTAAAACTTGTCATTACGAACATTTATATATTTTTTTCTATATTTTTTACACTTCTACATTAATTAAAAAACTATTAAAGACTTTAGGTAAGTGAAAATATACTTAAAAGAAAATTGCGTTTTTATGTTTTGGATGTGACAATATGGTATATACTTATTTAGTATTATATTTTTCATTTGATTATTTATTGGTTTAAAATATATTTTCCTTAACGTGTAACTGGTCGGGTCATATTACCTGTTAATATTATGGGGTCGGGTCATTTTACCCATTTATTTTAACAGGTGTTACATGACACGACCCGTTAAGATATCGGGTATGACACGAAAACGACATGAACACGAAAAACACGACACGAATGCCAGATCTACATGCATGTATTCATCATGTCATATCTAATCCTGTACATTATTTTTTTTTTGACATACGATATTATCTACACTAAGGAGAGGAGGTTGGCTGAATCTCACAATAGGTTAGCAATAATATGGTTCAAATTCGTCTTTGGAGAGAATTAAATCTAAAACCTCTCACTTACAAGTAAAGAGAAATACCACTAGATCATAATACTAAATGAGTAATTTGTACATTAAATAGAGAAATACAAATGAGACTTTCTCAAAAGTGTAATCTCTATAAATTATTTGTCATCTCATGTTATTTTGGCACAATATTTTATAATATTGACACATAAATTAACTTAAACTGTAAGATGACAGAGAGTCCATGGACAACCCCAATTTGAAAGAGTCTCATTAGCATTTATTAAACTTTTCTCGTTGTAATTGTGTTGGCTATCCCACATCGGCCAAAGGGAAGAAGAAAGAAGAGTTTAAATATGATTACCCTACTTTAACTAATACTGAAGTCTTTTGTAATAAAATTTCACACTTGTCGTACTTTGCAAGTGGTAATTAACAAGTTGGGGATAATATTGATATTGTTGGAAGTGGGTCTTTGGCCCGTCTCTTTGATATTTTCTACATGGTATCAGAGCCAAGAAGCAGGCTAGTACTGCCACTTGATGGGTGGGTCTCCTTGGCCCCGTGTGATGATGATGTATCCCTTGGCCCCGCATGTAGGGTGAGTCCCATTTGCTCCACGTGGTTGTTGATGTGTCGATCTTCTACGTGTCCCACTAATTGGGTTCCACGTGAGCGGACTTGTTGAAATATCCTACATCGACTGTATCTTTGAGAAAATAAGAGTTTAAATATCCTAACCTCACTCCAACTAATACTGAGATTTTTGTGATAAAACCCAACACCTGACGGATTGTGCAGGTGATAATCAACAAGTTCCGGACAATATTTGTGTTGTTGAAAGCGGGCTTTTGGCTTGTCTATTTGATAATTCTACATGGTATCAAAGCCAGGGGACGAGCCCATACTGCCATGTGATTAGGTGGTTCCCCTATGGCCCTGCACGATGATGGGTGGGTCCCCTTCGACCCATCATGTTGGGGGTGAGTCCCGACTCGACTCAATATGGTTGTCGATGTGTGAATCTTCCACATATGACCCACTAATTGGGGTTCCACGTACAAGGGCATGTTGGTTATCCCATATCAGCTAGAGGGAAGAAGAACAATGATTTAAATATGATTACACCATATTAACTAATACCGAGGCCTTTGTGAGAAAACTTCACACTTGACATATTAGGCAGGTGGTAATTACCAAGTTGAGGATAATATTGGTGTTGTTGGAAGTGGGGCCATCGACCCGTCTCTTTCAAAAATTCTACAAATTGAGTATATATAAAAATAAACACTTTAATGGGCCCTTGAGCTTTTAGCCAAAATATGGTGAGAAGTTGGAAAATTTCATCATTTCCAATCACATTCCCTATTATGCCCTTAAGAGAGCAAAAACTCTAAGAGTATCTCCAAAAGAGAAGTCAGAAAGTCCACATCAGCAATAAAAGTACAAAAAAAAAGAAGACAACTTCAGTGATTTCTAATCGGAATGCCAATTCCTACGTGGCATGACGTGGATTGAAATCAAAAGGTTGTTGCTATCAAATTTGATAGCAACTTCAAATCTATTTTTAATGATTAATAAATGCTTTTGCCTTTTTTATTATTATTTTTGTTTTAAATTACAATATAAAAATAAATAATGCAATAAATAATAGTTTCAATTTGACATTTTGGGTAGAGAACAAAATATAAAAAAGATCAAAGTGCCACATAAGCCTTTAAATTTAAATTTTATGTTTAAAATTCGACATCTCCTGCCACTTAGTATTTTGGTTTAGTGGTATTTTTTTTTCATTTGTAAGTGAGAGGTCTTAGGTTTGATTTTTGCCAAAGGCAAATATGAACCACATTATTGCTAGCCCATTATGAGGCTTAGCCCACTCCTGCACCCCCTGAGTGTAGATACTATCATTTGTTCAAAAAAAAAAAAAAATTGACATCTTAGAGATGGTCTAAGAGCTTCTACTCAGAAGTGGAATGGAGCTATTAGCATTAATTATCCAAATTGTAATAAAAAAATTATTTCTAT